ATATAAGCGTTTTTATTTCTCTGCCAGGATCTAAGTAAAACGCTAAATTTCTCTATAATTTAAGGGCTGCTAAAAAACTTGTTGGATAAAGCAAGTCCGTTGAAGGCAGCATACCGAAAATAAGAGTTTGTATTCTAGAAAATCCAAGTGATTAGATAAATGTGTCTAACTAAGTCAGAAGTCAGACATTTTTAGCATGATCATTTGAACCTATGCAGTTTTTATAGCTATCAAATAAAGTCAAACGTTTGAAATTTGAATTGCTTGGTGAAGAGTCGGCACTTTTTTGCGTCACATTTCATGTGGATCACCCTGTACAGCAGCTATGTAGAAATCTGTTGATAGAGCAAATCACGACTGTAGACACCTTCTGCAAGAAAATTTTTGAAGGATTTTTTACATCTTGAAAACGCATTGTTTTTGGCTAATTTGTTTGGAGATTTTGGCTGTTTTCAGATTATGTCACATGAGGCACCGCCTGTCAAGAAAATTTCTCAAAAAATCTGGAAAGGCTATTTTGCAATGTGACAATGCATGGCCCATTTTTTTAAATAAATAAGTTTGAAGTCCTACCTTTATGGAATTGGTCAAATCTTTGATCAAGCAAATATTATTTTGAGTAATGTCACATTTTTCAGGCCCATCACCCAGGCGTAGCACCCACATCCACATATATAGGTTCGAGCTTGCGAAACTAGTAATTTTTCTGCCCGTGTAGCAAAAGCACAGCTGCGGATAGGTACAGGCTCCTCGTTTAGATCATTCAAGATTTAGACGACCCTGCTTGTTTAAAATGGAAAATTAGTGACAGAAAGAAAAATTGTGGGTTTTTACCGTTGAAGAGAGTTCTTTTTTTTGTGTGTAGCTCATACACGATAAGTCATCGATGATAACGATAACCTTGGTCAGAAAGCAGAAGCTTCCCACAACAAAGCTTTGTAAAAAAATGTGCGGTAAAACTTTAGCCAAGTGCGCAAGAAATGAGTTTGATAATAAAATTCCCAAAACGCAATCTGGAACTTTCACAACCTAATACAATGGAAGAAGGGCGTCAGTGGTTGAGGGCTGGTTGCGCTAGAAAGTAAGCGTTTAACGGTTACATACTTACAAGTTGAGATTCACTGCAATCTCTGTTTGTCAAAGACTGGGATAGTAGTTACATCAGCACAAAAATGAAGATAGTCTATTGAATACGCCTAGCAAAAGGATCCAGACAGTACATTTGTTGATTGAAGTTGAACAGAAACACTTTGCCTAGAATTTTATGTGTAATTTACAGACATTGTCATTTTTTGCACAATAAATAAAACATTTCACTTAATAGATAAACTCCAATAAATTTCTAACGTTTCAGCCTGAAAAGAAAAACGATCAATTAAAAAGCTTTTTCGATAAACGTGCAAACTTCAAACGACTTCCGGTACATTAAAACCAGTGAAATCACCCAGAAGGGTATAAAAAAACCTTGAATCTTCGGAAAAGTAAGGATTATTCGCTTATGAATGAGCTTTCGCAGTAGTAAATCCGGTTCCAATCCTACCCGCTAAATTGCATGCAAGGAGACGAACAATGACATTCAAAGCACGGATGCGACGACGATTTCTGGGACGAAAATTGACTGCTCTATTTACAGAATGTGAGTTCCACGCGAAAGTCCAGGGGTTTAGTAGTCTCCCGTTCTCCTTTTCAATTTAGCGAGCTGGTTTACTGCGGAATCGAATCAGCCCTTGTCGAAGCAGTGACCGCTAACGATTGCATCATGGAATAAAATTACCCAAAAGTGTTAAGCAGAAAACTTCCTAAATTTGCGATTTAGTTCAATTAAATTCGCTGTACCATAGTAGAAATAGTGCATTTGCGGTAACGTCAATTTCACGTCACTTTTTCACTCGTCAATTTCGCAAATCTCGGCAGCGCAAGGGAACATATTTAAAATCTGCTCGAGTAAAGTAAGACATTGTTTCGATCTTTCTCTATCAGGTATCTATCTTCTGGCTTGAAAATTGCGCACTAAGGTGTAACGAAATTTTTGATTCAAGTATGTCCTTGTGGCATTTCCAATAAAAGTGATTTTCTTTTGCACCTAAACTTACTCCAGCAAATTAAACTTACATGGAATCTGCACATCCTCTCTTTCTCAGCTTTTGTTCAAGAGACATAGATTGATCACTGGGTTTCAAAGACATTTTGATCTTTGGTCAGTGCTACGTATAAAGGTGAATGAAAAGTAATAACCGTCGTTCCCTTTTTACAACCTTGCGTTTGACTTATACTTTGTATGGTATTCAGCGAAGTGGCAAAATCACAATATCGCCGTTTCTTATCTCAGTGTTTCATTGACGCACCCTCCTACTGCACGTACTTCTGGATGCTTTGGTGGTTCGGCATGGTACACAACCAGAAATATCAATTGCCAAACACTTTCATTGCTTCGTAAGCTTTAAGACACAATCACCAATAGGTCACTGCGCGATCCACTGCTACTACGATGACCGTTCACAGTCGTGAGGTCGCTTTGTCTGATGTTGAGGAGGACTTGATTTTTTCTGCAGCAGCTCAGAAAGCTAGATCCTCGCATTTGTGTACCAAGAACGACGATCATCCGCGTGATTGTCACGATTTGGTCGAAGTTCATTACACATTACACATCGTAATTTGGATGGCGTGTGTGCATCCACACATATTGAGATGCAAAACTCGATTGTATCGGCGGTCCAAAAAAATGAGAGGAAAGACGGTAAGAATTTTTTTTCAGATCTTTGTGCAAAATTCTAGGATCTCTCTGAAACTTTCGGCGTATGCGCTCGAGAAAAATGTGAGCGGCAGGAGCCAAATCTCTGGAAGTTGTCATACAAATCTGATGCGAATCTACGTAACTCGAATAAAATCTAACATTTACAAATAGGAAACATGCCAAATCCACAGTTTTTGACGCATGTAGGCCTCAAAATTTTTGGATTCCTACTTCCCTTCCATGGTTCCATGCACGCTTTCTCCCCCTTCCCCTTTAGTCCCCCATTTCTCATGGAAATTCACCACATTCTGGCCGCATGCACTAACAACCCCGCTTGGGGAGGAGATCGCAGTTCAGAAGAGAGCTTTATATTCTGAAGCTCCAGATACCTAGATTTCACGCTGTCTACCTGTCCGCAAGTATTCCTACTATCCTTCACTATAACATATTGAACAGGAGCGAGAAGCTGTACAAGCCGTATTTTCCAGCTTTTGTAAGATCCCTGACGATCCCCGGCCTTTTCTTCAAAGTTATTTTTTCTTTCTTTGAAGTTAACGAAAACCTTCCAAAGTTGTACTAATTGTCTAACACAACAGCGCTAAGCATGTTACTGAGGAGAACAAATGAGTTTTTGGAAAATCGAATTTTTCGTAAACTGAAACTTTTGACTTGTGGTTCATCGCAAATTTCGTGACTCCGACACATCACTTGCAACCTATTAAGCAGTATCGGGTCAGATAACCTGCACGACTTTGGAAACACTTTGTTAACTTTGGAGAAAGAAAAATGACTTAAAGAAAGCGCCGGGGATTATCAGGGATCATACGAATGCTGGAAACTGCGACTTGTACACCTTCTCGCTGCCGTTCAATGTGTTCATAGTGAAGGATAGTATGAATACTTACGAATACGTACAAAACGTGAAATCCGGGTATCTGGAGCTTTTGAATATGAGGCTTTCTGTTAAGCTACGATCCCCTCCCCGCGGGGATGTTATTGCATGCGGCCCTAAGAGAAATGTATTCAAGAAAGATTAGCAACCAAGATTCGACCACTTTTCAAATAGTAAGTTTGAGCGCAGGGTAGACGTAGGGTAGCGCAGGGTAGTTCTCCTTCTCCACTAGTCAAAGAGAATTCTAACCACTTGATGAAAACCATCGCAAATGATTTGGGAAATAACTGAGTGAGGAGCAGGGTCAAGCGTGGGGTGCGGCACGCCACACTTAGGGGGTCGTATTGAGGAGTCAGAAGGGGAGGGGGTCGTAGTTGGGTGATCTGATAATAGTGATAACATGATATTCGTACCATATTCATAATTAGCATGTCAAATAACTTCTGTAGACAAAGTGTGAGCGAATTCTGAAGATTCAAGATACTAGGCTACCTAAATGAAATGGTCAAATTCCAACATGGCTGACTTTATTTCAAAGGTGAATTAGCTATTCATTTTTGCACTCACGACAAAGCACTACTCCTTCTTTGTCCACCTCAGGAATCCCGCTTCAGAAGACCTGCAAACTGTGGAATTAGAAGGCAACCAAAATCTCGTTTTTCCCATTTTTCGCTTTTGATCGCTGTGCTTTCACCAATTATTATTTAGAGCTAAGAAGACAAATCAGGCTCCAAACATTCCTATGGAATCTACAAGGTTTAGGCTATCGATTAAAATGTTTTTTTGATGTAGTTAATGGGATGCGGCACACCCCTTTAAAAGCGGCTGCCGCAGCTTTTAAGGGGGTGTGCCGCACCCCCTTAACTTGCCTTCAAAATCCAGAAAGCGCTCCATTGCTGATATCAGTATTGAGCACATAGCTTCTTCTTTCTACATTGGAAATTTGAAGCCGAACGCCCCACCCATAAGAGAATTATGGCCCTTTCAATATGCCCATTCAGATCAAAATCAGCCGTCAAATCACGTGTGATTGTAAAGTGCAGTCATAGAAAATCGGGCGTAAGCTCTCAGAAATCTGAAAACTCTCTAGAAAAAGATGGTGTCCTTCAGAATGTCACACTTTGAGGTCCAGAAGTTAAGAGGAGGAAGAAGGGGTCGTTTGAGGGCTTTCATGGGAGAGGGGAGGGGGGGTTCGAAAGACTTGTGCCTGACCTCTCTCTCAACTCTGGTAATGCTATCTTAGATATATAGTTCGGGGGGGGGGAGGTCTTATTAAGACAGCAATGAGGGGGGGGGGGGGGAGTCGTAACCAGCGATCGTGTGCCACACCCCTTGCTTGACCCTGATGAGGAGTATATTGTTTTCCCTTGTTATTTCTCATCGCCCAAACTGTGTCTTCAGCTTGCGGTGTTCCAGGCCCTGGCAGCGCCTGGAAATTGCAAAGTAAGTTCATTTCAGTCGTTCTGTAGCTAAGAAAAAGATGTTTATTGCTTCCATTGCAACTTTGCTGAAATAAGAACTCACCTTTTGTAAAAACTTTGCAACGACGCATGATAATTTTAATTTATGCTAATGGGAGGAGAACAGGTTAGGAAAATGACCAAATCAAACCTTTTGTTTAAGAAGACAGCGTTATTTATGAGCGAACAACTTCTTAACGATAATATGACTCAAATATAAAGGTCGAGATCAATGCACTTTAAAATTAAACTTTGATTAATAAAAAACATTGCATTGCAGTTACTTCCAATCATTTCGCAGAAGTCCACACGGTTCTACTATCCACATGACTTACTCATAGTCGCAAAATGATGACTTTGAAACTTGCTGTGCGATGTCGATCATCACGAATGAATTGTAAACCACCACCTGTTTCGAAAATTGTTGTACGCAAGAACGGTAACCATGGAAAGAAGAAAGCTTTCTCCAAAAGGTCAATGCGAACTGAAATTCAAGGCAGTGTCCGGGCAAGATGGGGGTTTTGGGATTATGACTCCGACACATCACTTGTTTTATCAGCAGCCTGTTATGCAGTATTGGGTCAGATAATCTGCACGACTTCGGAAACTTTTCGTTGATTTTGGAGAAAGAAAAATGACTTTAAAGAAAAGCGCCGTGGATCATCAGGGATCATACGAATGCTGAAAACTGCGGCTTGTACAGCTTCTCGCTGCTGTTTAAATTGATAGTGAAGGATAGTAGGAATACTTACGAATATGTACACAACCTGAAATTCAGATATCTGGAGCTTCTAAATATGAAGCTTTCTTTTAAACTGCGATCCACTCTCCGAGGGGATGTTAGTGCATGCAGCCCTAAGAGAAATGTTCAAGAAAGATAAGCAACCAAGATTCGACCACTTTTTAAATAGTAAGTTTGAGCACAGGGTAGACGATTCTCCTTCTCCACTAGTTAAAAAGAATTTTACCCACTTAATGAAAACCACCGCAAATGATTTGGGAAATAATCAAGTGAGGAGTGTATTGTTTTCCCTTGTTATTTGTCATCGCCCAAATTGTGTCTTCAGCGTGCGCTGTTCCAGGCCCTGGCAGCGCCTGGAAATTGCAAAGTAAGTTCATTTCAGTTGTTCTGTAGCTAAGAAAAAGATGTTTATTGCTTCCATTGCAACTTGGCTGAAATAAGAACTCACCTTTTGTAAAAACTTCACAGACGACGCATGATAATTTTGATTTATGCTAATGGAGGAGAACAGGTTAGGAAAATGACCAACTCAAACTTTTTGTTCAAGAAAACAGAGTTATTTATGAGCGAACAACTTCTTAACGATGATATGACTCAAATATAAAGGTCGAGATCAATGCACTTTAAAATTAAACTTTGATTAATAAAAAACATTGCATTGTAGTCACTTCCAATCATTTTGCAGAAGTCCACACGTTTCTACTATCCACACTTACTCATAGTCGTAAAATGATGACTTTGGAACTTGCTGTGCGATGCCGATCATCACGAATGAATTGTAAACCACTACCTGTTCCGAAAATTTTTTCACGCAAGAACGGTAACCATGAAAAGAAGAAAGCTTTCTCCAAAAGGTCAATGCGAGCTGAAATTCAAGGCAGTGTCCGGGCAAGGTGGAGGTTTTGGAATTTCAGTGCCATGCGAGAGTGGCCCTTCTCAGACACAATATCGCGCAAGTGCGACGTCATAACGTAACGCTCGACCTAAAGCAAGAAAAACGACCGAAAAGTGGGGAATCTTACGCCCTTAGGGCAGGGTCCTCGAGCTGTCCGAATTCCTGCTATGCGGTAGAGTACGCATGCCCCCACAATTAAAATGTAGGGTCCCGCAGCGACTCTGCGTCTCTGCCTTGGTGGCGACCGTCGAATTTCAAGATGTGCGGTTTTGCAAAACCTATGTTCTCGCCGTTTTCGCGCCTTCTAATGTGGATTTTCGAATTCAGCATTGCGGATAACCCCCGATAAGTAGATTTTCTAGAATTTTATTTATTTATTTATTTATTTACAAAATGCACAATAAGTGCGCACGAGTAAATATATTACAATAGATAGATGAGAGAGTATAAGAGGATAAGGATAGAGGAAGCCAGCATGTGTAAAAAGTGACAACAATTCAGCAGTAATCTATCCAAATCAATGTTTAATAACTTTCTCTTCATTTGGGCATTACTTGATTGTAGAATAGGAGGCGGAAGATGTTGTAACCCTCTTGCACCTCTACAAAGCAACATGTTGAAGTTAGCAGAATTTGCTTTTTATTGATTGGGGGATAATGCAAGTTGAACGATCCAGAGCGTTGATTGGTGGGTATAAATATCCAGTAATTACTAGCTTTGAGTCTGATTTCTCTACGTAAGATTTTAAGCAGAGAACCAGATCAGAGACTTTTCCACGGTATGCCAAACTTCGCATGTTGAGAATTTTCAGCGATCATTGTAATCGGGAACGTTTCTGTTGAACCAGCACCTGCGAAATAGTAACCGAGTAGAAGTATGTTGTACCTTTTACAGTTTCCTCATATCTCTTTTACAGTAAGGGCTCCAACTTGTGAGCAATATTCAAGATGAGGTAACACATATGTTCTGTACAAGAGTTTCAAAACTGAAGGATTTTGTGAGGTGTATATTCCGAAAAATGGCATACAGTACAGTGTACGCCTTTCTGACTATACAATCTATGTGTAGTGAAAATTTGAGGGTGGAATCAATAAGAATTCCCGAATCTCTGATTGAAGTGCACTCCCTTGAAGTTATTCCGTCAATTTCATAATTTGATGCTGTAGTATTCCCAATGTGCATAACGCAACATTTGTCCAGGTTGAGAGGAGTATCCCAATTTACCGACTATTCAAGCATTCTTCTGATAGGATTTCTGAAGGCTGACTGAACCTCCAAAAGATCATTAAAATCGTAGTTACCTGTAAATTTCAGCATATATCTGTACCAGGGCTCGGCACGAGCTGGCACCAGGGAAATTTCAAAACGAAGTCCCGTTTGTTATGAAAATTTTGTACGAAGTCCCTTTTGACCTGTTTTAAAAACCCGCCATCATTTTTATATTTTTGTAAAAACATGTAGCAGCGTTTTCATGCATTTCTGATTTCATGAAAGAACTTTTCAAAGCTTTCTGAGTTTTTTAAGTGGACAAATCACGTCTTGAGAAGCAGAAAAAGCCGATTTTTCGACTGCGGAGTAGACTGAGGGGTTTTCAAATTGCTATAAAATGCTGAAAAGAGAACATTATGAAACTGTTTCTTCTCCGTATGTAATCTTTTACAGTGTAGATACATTTTATGTAAAAAAGTATGAAAACTTATGTGAGCAAAGAGTCGGTGCCAGCTTAGCTGGCACCCAGCTGGCACGGTGCCAGCTAATTCAGAAAAAAGTTCGGCACAGCTTTCATTCACATAAATTTTCATAAATTCTTGGTCCGTAGTTCCGGTCCACCAACGCGCATGCACACACCAAATTTAGTGTCATACTATTACGTTTTGGCTGAAAACAACGCCTTTGTTTGTTGATGGACAGCTTGCCAATGGCATGCCAGTGGCATGCAGGCGGCATTTTTGCAGCAGTTCTACGCCTCGGCCTCTATAGAAACGATATCCCTTATAGATCTCCTTCCGAATCGTCACTTCGAATAAGTGAACTTCCCTTGTTAGGTAAGTCTAAAGTGTACAAGAGGAATAGCAAAGGCGAGAGCACACCATCCTGTGGGACTCCGCTTTTGCATGCGTATTTTCAGAGTAACTATGGCCAATTCTAACAGTCATATGTCTGATTTGCAGATAAGAAATTGGTTAAGCTAGCAGAGTACCAGAAATTCCACTTTTTTATGAGTTTCCCATGAGGAACTTTGTCAAAAGCCTTCGAAAGATCAAAGAAAATTATAGAAATCGAGTTTTTGCCCGGACACTGCCTTTGATTACTGGAGTTATTGCGGTTAAAGGCCATAAGGATGATGACAAGCGGAGATGTTCTGTTAGCAAAAATCTTTCAAAATTCTAGCACCTTGACAAACCGACTACCTACGCAGTTATTCCTTTTTGGGCCTTGCGTGAAAGTAGGCTTTTTGCTCACTTTTTGGGTTGAAGTCTATAATTCACTGATTTACTCGTTGAACAAATCACGACTTGGAGAAAGTTCAACTCCAATTCACTTTGGCGCGCCAAGTTCGCATAGGCCGCTTGACGCAGTTTTTACAACTTCCGCCTATTGGATAGGCTTGTGCTTTTGCACACTCTACTCAAAAACTGACAGGGTAGTACGACTAAATTTTTAGCCTAAGACCCTTGCCGGAACGCTCTAAGAAATTCGCGATAGACAGAAATGCGCGCACACACGGACCATTACGAAAGGTATCACGTAAACTCAAGTGGTAGCGGTCTTTCAGTCGAGAGACCGCTAAGTATTACGTTTTTACATAAGTTTTGTTACACTTTAAATTCTTACAACGTTAAGTCGTGAACTCCATAATTTTTATAGGGCCCCAGGGTACCGTTCGATAGAGCAAAGCAGCTCTACAAAATTGTCTGCAAGAGTTCGCACCAGCTCTGACCCACCGTAAGTATGCATCCAAAAACTGAGTCGCTCTGAAGACTCAAAAAATAGCGAAAAATTCAAATATTTGTTCAAAAATCCTACGAAACTTCAACTTGCTAATAGAAATTGCCGCTATATTAGGTACTCATATGTACTGTATTTCTTGTTGTATTTCTTCCTCATCTAGAAATTGAGAAAACGAAAATTTTCTTGTTTTTACAGAAAAATCGAATTTAGTTTTTTTCACTCGGGTGTTAGAAGCTAAATTAGATGATTTTCGAAAACTAATTCTTCTGGAAAGCTGAAACTCTACGGTTGTACTTCTAAGGGCTTATAGTATAAAGCTACACAAAAGAAACAGCATAGCGTCGTTTATGTAAACACAAGAAAATTTTCGTTTTTCTCAGTTTCTAGATGAGGA